AAGAACATGATCCGAAAATTTTGAATCTTCAAAACCTGGAGGTTGTTCCACATACACTTCGTCTTTTATAAAACCATTTAAAAATACACTTTTAACATCCATTTGATATAATTTAAATTCATGAAAATATGGAAATGCTAATAACATTCTAATTGCTTCCATCCTAGCTACGGGAGCATATGTTTCATCATAGTCTATGCCCTCTTCTTGAGTATACCCTTGAGCAACAAGTCTAGCCTTGTTTCTCACTATATTACCACTTTCATCAAGCTTATTCCTAAATACTCATCTAGTACCTACAGTAGATTTATTACTAGGCCTTTCAACTAATGTCCATACTTTACTTCTCTCAAATTGATTTAATTCTTCATGCATAGCCATAATCCAATGTTCATCATTTAATGTTTCTTTAATATTCTTAGGCTCTATGCATGAAATAAATGCAACATAATTACAAATATTTCTAAGATAAGATTGAGTTGTTACCCCTTTGGATGGATCACCTATAATCTCACCATCCTTGACATAGTTGTACTCTCTTGGATAAGATATTTCCCTTTCTTCAATGGTTGGATTCTCAAGAGGATTATGAGTTTCCTCATCTTTTGTTTCTTCCTTTGATAATGATTCTCCAATGTCATGTCTAACGTCATTTGTATTTATAATACCTACATCATCATTCAAACAAGAATCCTTCCTCGGAAGGAGATTATCATCGAAAAACAACATGTATAGACTCTTCTACAACCAAAGTTCTTTTATTAAATATCGATAAGATTTAGAATTTAAGGAATAACCCAGAAAAATTCCTTCATCACTTTTAGCATCAAATTTGCCAAGGTTTTCTTTACCGTTGTTTAAAACACAACATTTACATCCAAAAGGATGAAAATAGCTAATGTTAGGCTTTTTATTTTTGAAAATTTCATATGGAGTTTTCTTTAAAATTGGCCTAATCATTACTCGATTTACAACATAACAAGCGGTATTTGTGGCTTCCGCCCAAAAATATTTTGTCAAATTATTTTCACAAAGTATGGTTCTAGCCATTTCTTCTAAAGTTCGATTTTTTCTCTCAACAACTCTATTTTGTTGAGGGGTTCTAGGTGCTGAAAAATTATGGCTAATACCATTAGAATTACAAAACTCATTAAATCCAAGATTTTCAAATTCAGTGCCATGATCACTTCTAACACTAGTGATAGAGTAACCTTTTTCGTTTTGGATTACTTTTGAAAATGTGATGAAATTTTCTAATGTTTCATCTTTAGTACTTAAGAATAGAACCCAAGTATATCTAGAATAGTCATCTACCAAGACAAATACATATTGTTTTCCACCCAAGCTAGTAGTCCTAGTTTGCCCAAAAAAGATCTATATGGATCAATTGTAATATTCTACTAGTTGACACATCATTAATGGATTTAAAAGAAACTCGCTTTTATTTTCCTTTAGCACAAGCATCACAGATTTTATCATTATCAAATTTTAGTTTAGGCAGCCGTCGAACCAATTCTCCTTGAACTAACCGTTGCAAAACACTCATGCTAGCATGTCCTAGTCTCCTATGCCATAACCAACTATCATGCTCATCCTTAGCAACTAGGCATAAATTAGTCATATTGATAGAATTTAAATGCACCATGTAAATGTTTCCTATTCTATGACCAACAAGCATAATCAAAGTAGATGCAATGTCAATCAATTAAACACTTAATTTAAAAAATAAGACATTGTATCTTTTGTCAAATTCATCTAATCAGATTATGCTTTAATCCATTCACATACAAAACATTATGCAATGTTGATAATCGAGATTAAGAGCACATGCATAAAGTTTTTGTAAAAAATGTTATGCATTAAAACTTTATAATATTAAAAAAAATGCATAATCATTAAGAAAAATTTAAGGTCAAAATTTTTGCAAAACCAAAGTTCCTGAAAAATTGATATCAATTGTTAAAGAGATATCAATTACATTTTGAAAACAATTTTGACCAAAAATTAATATGATGAACTAGAGTTTATAAAACATTACCAAAAATTATTATGTTCATCATACAATATTTTTCAACATACATGAGATAAAACATAATCATTTAGAATTAAAAACCTCATGCATGCATAAACTAAATGAGCAACCAAATAAAATAAAAACATTAAGTTTAGAGGTTACCCATTCATTTTTCATGTGTGGCTAGGGCATCTTGAATATCATCATCTTCATCATCATTGCTCTCACTCACCTACAAGAGACATTTAAGTAGATTTTGATATACAAATTTCTTTGGATCCTTGAACATTAGTTTCAATGCCTCTTGTTCCTTTTGGAACCCATACTTGTCTAATTTTAAATTGTTTTCCTTTCTTTAAAGGACAAGTATGTTCCTTATGACCATGATAATGACAATGTGAACATATTGTCATTATTGAACTAGATGAATTATTTAAAATGATCTCTTTTTCTTTTGTTAAACATTCAAGCTTAACTTTCAAATCGAAATTTTCTTTTTCAATACTTTCAAATTTCATTTTTGAAAGCTCTAAATCCTTCTTCAAGATTTCATTTTGATTTTCAAAATCCATTTTCGTTTCTAGAAGAAGTTTGTTTAATTTGAAAATTTCTTTTTCAAAGTTTTCAGATTTTATTTTTGAAAGCTCTAACTCCTTTCTCAACATTTCATTTTGATTTTCCAAGTCTGTTTTAGCTTTCAAAAGAAGATCATTTTTAGCAATAAATTTAGAAATAAATTTATTGTATTTAGAGTTCATGGTCTCAAACTCCAAAAATAATTCATCATAAGTATCTTGTAACTCATTAAAAGATTTTGAATTTAATCTATTTGAGTTAGAAGATACCTTTGGCTCTGTGAGAGCTAATAGAGACATCACCTTTATTGGTTCTTCTTCTTCCTTGTCTCCATAGATCTCCTCAAGCTTATCCCACATCTCCTTGGCATTTGAACAAGAAAAAACTCATTTATATACATTAGGATCAATTGCACAACACAATATGTGCATAGCTTTTGTATTTTGTTGAGCTTTCTTCCGTTCTTGATCACTCCACTTCTTTGCCTTCTTTGTAGGAGAAGAATATCTTTTCTCAATCATCATCCAATCTTCCATATCAAATGCTTGGATAAATATCATCATAAGCTTCTTCCAACGACGATAATTTGTTCCATTGAAGTGTGGAGGCACGTCAATTGGTCTGGATTCTTCCATGGAGAATGAACCGGAAGTGGACGCCATCTTTATCGATTTAACTCTTCCCGGATCTACTCAAGAGGCGGTTAAACCTTCAAATGAGTCAAGCTCTGATACCAATTGTTGAGTTAATCGATTGACAGAATCGGTCAAGAGGGGGTGAATTGGCAATTAAACATTTGGTGGAAGCTTTTGCAAAAAATTGAAAGTAATTGCACAGCGATTTAGAGTGGTTCGACTTTCTCAACCAAAGTCTACGTCCACTACCTTAGCTATCCACACTAAGGATTTTCCAACAAATTCACTAATTTGTTCTTTCTTTTGAGGACAAAAGAGTAACCTTACAACTCTCTCAAGAATTATATCCCAAATTCTTGAGCACACTCTTTTTCAAAGAGAAATACACAAATTTACAAACTTACAAGGAAAACCTCACAAGGTAAGATGTTTGCACAATTCTAGAACAAGAAAAGAACACTCAAAAATAATTACAAATGAGCACAAATGGTGTTCTTGAAAGCAAAATGAATATTGAAAGGAAAATTGGCTTGATTTGCACAAACTTGGTGTTTGATGCTTTCTCTCTTGTTTCTCTATATTTCTTGTTGATCAAAGGCTTCAGAACTTGTTTAAATACTCCCTCAATTGATTCTGAACGTTAGGGATGATTAGTGGAGTCAATGGAGCCGTTTAAGTGTGAAAACCATTAATACAATAGCTTGGAGCGTGGGGGGAATCGGTACCCCTCATGGGGAATCAGTTCCCTAAGTATAAAATTCAAATATTTCAACCGTTAAATAGGGGGAATCGATACCCCCTGGGGGGAATCGGTTCCCTCTGAGCATTCTGTTTTTCTCGGAGAAAAACCATTCAGGGGGGAATCGGTACCCCCTTGGGGGGAATCGGTTCCCTCTGAGCAATATGGAATTTTTGGCTTTGAAATGGTTCGAAATATTTTGTAAAATTATTTTGAAATTATTTTAAGTTTAAATCTTAATTTTACACTTGAGTAAGGATTAAAAATGACATTTGAAAGATTTGGTGTAATATTTTGATATTCGAATAATTATATCGAATACTTATAAAATCTTAAAATTCATTTATCTTAATTTGTTATATCGAAATATCAAAATGTTTTCAACATGATGTTTTTGTGTCGTCTGCCATTTCTGCTACAAATTCTATTTAATAGTTGTCAATGCGGAATGTCAATTACCCCAAGGAAAGTTTTTCTGATGTGGAAGATCAGCCTAAGCCACAACCACAGAGCATACTAAAATAAACCAAGAGCGTTGATACCAATTGTTGTGGAATTCGGGTTAATTTCCACCAATAATAACAAATTTACCTTGAAAACTATTATCTAGGTGACTAGTGTGAAAATGATTGTACTAAAAATCACCCCAAGGTAGATTCCCAGGAAAGAGGAGGGGTCACAATGGTCCCTCTTAAAACCCACTTTCTTTAGACAGAACTACTAAGACAAGTAATTTTAATAGGACAATAATTAACAACAACTATACCCAACAATAACTATTAAATAGACATAAAAGAGAACACCAAAATTTAACGAGGTTAGACCAAAATTATTCATACCTCCTCTAACACTACTAAAACTAATAGAGGAAATATTACAAAGAGAGAGAAAGAGTGCAAATAGCCTTTAATATAGAAGAAGGCTTATATTTGTGGGATGCTTAACTAAGGAGGAGGATGGCTTTATTTATAACAAAAGAATTTCCCCTCCTCCTTATACACAACCAATGTGGGACTTTGCCAAAAAACCAACAGAAGCTTTGTTGTGTGTGGAGGAACTAAAATCTCAATCTTACCATCCTGAGGTTGTGAAAGAAGCCATTTCCATTGCCTTGGACAAAAGCTCACCTTGTGTTGAGCCGGTTTCGAAACTTCTCGAACACATGTTGATTAAGAAACTTTTTACCCCTAGAGACATCGGAACTGGATGCCTCCTCTATGATGCCTTGTTGGATGATGTTTCCATCGACTTACCGAAAGCACCAAACAATTTTGGAGAAATAATTGGGAGACTAGTGTTGGCTGGGGGGTTAGATTTTAAGCAGGTGAAGGAAATACTCAAGAAGATGGAGGATGACATGTACCAGAAAGCCATGTTTGATGCTGCAATGAGGATTGTTAGCTCGAATCCTTCTGGGCAAGGTCTGCTCGATTCTTCGGCTTTCGAGGTTGAGGCCTGTCGGAGCCTATTCTAAATTCTGCATGCTACTTTAAATGTTTTGTGTCCGCAAGAACTTGTATTATTGGATAAAGTGCAGCTGCCGAGGACAGGTACAATTTTATTGAGACGTATATTTCAACAGGGCATTCAGCGGTGTGTTTATTGAGATGAAAAGCACCACCATGGCTAATTTTGATACATTTTTCTTATCTTTCCCAAGCGTAAAAGCATTAATTGATTAATAAATAATAATAATAATAATAATGCTAGTCTAAAACATTTCCGTTTTTGTTGAACAAAATTTGATTCTTGGCTAATGATTCAATTGTTCATGCAACTTTTATTTTTATTTGCTTATTGCTATAATATTACCAAGTTTTCAGGTAAATGGGCACCTCTAAGGGTTGGTTCTAATCGTCTACCAAGTATTTACTCTTCTTGTCCCCTGTTGATTTGTTTTTGGTTAATTTTTTTTTAAACTTTGACCGGTTATTATTAGAAAAATTATAAAAAATATTTTAAAAGCCTTAATTCAAGTAATTTTAAAAATATATATTTTATAAAATTTAATTATTTAAAATTAATGGGACGGAAGAAGTAGTTGATTATGAACTTTGTCAATAAGTAAAACTCTATCATGACGCAAATAATTTTTTTTACGTTATTGTATATATAACAAAATTTTAGAGTTCGGTTCCTTAAAAAGTCATATGAATTGGATTAATATAGAAAGTACATGAATGTTAAATTTAATAAAACATAATCCTATGGAACTTATACTATGGTTTAGGTAAAAAGAAAATGCAATTTAAAGGAGCTGTTGGTGTAGTTAAATTATTTTAATTAAAGTATTAGAGCGGATATGTCATCATGTATCTCATCTCTAACAAAACCCGATTGACGGGAGAAAAACGAACCAATCGCAATACGTCAAATCTCCCGCTTCTTATTTGGTTTGAGAGATCAGAGATATCCCGCAAGGAATACCAAGCAGCACATGCATCGACGACTACTTTAAATGACGAGACATTGAAGTGAAACTAGCTATTGTCATCTCTTTTCTCCGACCAAAGTTTTTGTAGTGCCATCCTCCTCTTTAGTAGGGATGTAAAATCGGATAATCGTTCAGGTTTCAGTCGGATCCTGTCAGGTAGGATAAAATCGGATACATGTCAAGTCAAGTAAATTTGATGCTTTGATTCGGATCAGGTCGGGTCCAGGCCAAATCAAGTCGGGTCATTTTCAGGTTGATTTGACACTAGGTACAGTTCGGGTTACTTTTAGTGCGGATCGATGTCAGTTCAGGTCAAAACAGTTCAGGTCCGGAGCAGTTAAAAAGCAGGTTAATTCAGGTTCGGATTGACTTCAGGCGGATCTTGTTCAAATCGGGTCACATCATTGGCAGATAAAATTCAGGTCGGATCTCTATCAGATACAAATTGAGTTCAAATCGGGTTAATTTTATTTTTAGATTATTTATTTTTGTCATTTGCGAACATTGAATTGCAATTTGTAATTGTATATGATTTAGAGTAAATTACTAAGAATATAAATAATCATGGTTCAATTTTATGAAAAATACAAATTGAAGGACTAAATTGAACAAATATGAAATTAAAAATTAAAATTTAAATAAATTAAACAACACACATTGATGAGGGATCAAATCGAAATAATTTTAAATTGTGTGGATGAAATTAATGCAAAAAGTACTAAATTATACCCATTTAAAAAGTTATGGGTCAATTAAAAAAATATAAATAAGTAATCAGTATGGGTCAATTTCAGATGCAAACATAATTTGGACGACTAAATTGATCAAATATGAAATTACAAATAAAAATTTAAATAAATTAAACAACACACATTGATGATGGATCAAATCGAAATAATTTTAAATTGTGAGGTTTAAATTAATACAAAAAATACTAAATTATACCCATTTAAAAAGTTATGGACCAATTAAAAAATATAAATAAGTAATAAGTATAAGTCAATTTCATATGCAAATATAATTTGAAGGACTAAATTAAACAAATATGAAATTACAAATAAAAATTTAAATAAATTAAACAACACAAATTGATGAGGGATCAAATCGAAATAATTTTAAATTGTGAGGTTTAAATTAATACAACAAAGTACTAAATTATACCCATTTTAAAAGTTATGAGCCAATTAAAAAATAGAAATAAGTAATAAGTATGGGTCAATTTCAGATGCAAATATAATTTTAAGGACTAAATAGAACAAATATGAAATTACAAATTAAAATTTAAATAAATTAAACAACACAAAGGGATCAAATCGAAACGATTACAAAATGTTTATAAAATGGACTAAATTGCATTCATTTTAAAAGTTGAGAAACAATTGAAACAAATATATATATATATATATATATATATATATATATATATATATATAATATATATACTATTTATAAACTATATATACCATGTAAAAACTATAATACTATATAGTTTATATATGAACTATATAGAAACTACATAGTTTATTAATATAAATTATATAGTTTATATATAGATTATATATGAAATATATATAAACTATACAATTTATATTTATATATTATGTATAGTTATAAATATATATTGTATAAATATATAGTTTATTAATATAAACTATATAGTTTATATATATATATATATGGTTTAAGGTTTAGGGTTATGATTTAGGGTTAATTTATGGAATTATATATAAATTATATAGTTTATAGATAGTAGTATTTAAACTATATATAAACAATATAAACTAAAACTATATATACTATATATATATACATGTATAAACTATATAAACTATATATATAAACTATGTAAACTATATAGTTTACATATGACCTATATATATAGTTTATTAGTGAACTATATAAACTATTTATATAGCATATACTATATATATAAATTATAGTTTATATTTATATACTACATACTATAGTTTATATTTATATGCTATATTTTATACTATTTATATAAACTATAGTTTATAGAAATCCTAAACTATAGTTTATATATATATATATATATATAATTTACATAAATACTATGCATAAACTATATGAAGTAATAAAGTATATAGTTTATAAAGATCCTAAACCCTAAACCTTAAATCTTAAACCCTAAACCCTAATCTATAAACCCTGAACATTATGCATAAACAATAGTTAATATATGTTACCTATAGTATATGTATACATGTAAACTATATATATGTAACTTATAGTATATGTATGTACAAACTATGTAAAGTATATATAAACTATATATATAACCTATAGTATATGTATATATACAATCTATTTATATGTTATATAAACTATATATGTAACCTATAGTTTATAAGCAATAGTTTATATTAGTGTACTATATAGTTTATACTTTATAACCTATTGTATATAATTTATAAACTATAGTTTATATTAATGTACTATATAGTTTATATTAATGTTAATTATTTTAACTATAATTTATATTAATATAGTATATAGTTTATAAACTATACTATATAATTTATAACATATAGCCTATAGTAATATTAATTTTATAGACTATATTTTATATTAATATTAATTATAATATATAATTATTTTAATATTAATTATAAATAGTTTATTAATATAAATTTTATAGGGGTGAAAATGAAAATAGGCGCCAAAACCATTTTCTTTCCCGCTCAGCATCCAAAATCTCTCCCGCTTGGCATCCAAAATTATGTTTCCCTCGTTTTCCCTCTTCTTCCCCGCTCAGCATCCAAAAGGAAGAGATAGAGTCCATCTTATTTGCCACTTTCCGTCTAAATCCTTTACTTTTTTTTGCTCTCAGGTGCAAATAACAACTATAAAATAGTAGAGGAAAGATAAATGGTAGAAATCGAGAAAGAAATAGAATCGATAAGAGCAGCTTCGAACGAGGTGTCTCGTCAGTTCAAAACCCTAATCGATGCGAATGATTTGGATTCTCTAAGGCACTTGCAGCTCCTCATGTACTTTCCCCTTTTCTTTTTTCTTTCTGCGTTTTTTTCTCTATTTACTTATATTATTAATAAGGTTGGATTTGATTCCCGGCGTATATGATAATTCGATTTTGTATGTTCTGTTGAGAAGTTCATTTGTTTGCTATAATTACGTAGTAAAACTGTACAAGGTTGAGTTTTTTTTTCTTTATATTGTAATCTAAAATAAATAGTGATTATTTTGTATTTGAAGAGATGCTATGTAGATACGAATGCATATGTCCATGCCCTATATCCATGCCCTTGTCTCGAGGACTAGAGTGAACAGGGTATGGGCGTATGGCTCCTGGCATGTATCCAGAGAGTGACTTAAAAGAGTCACGTATCAAGCTGAATCCACTTTACATGTTTGTTCTGTGGATAAATTTTTGTCCCGACAGAAAACAGGAATAGTGTACTCTACCAAAACGATTATGGATTTATTAGTAAAATAAGAAGTTATCAGTTTCCTTACTGTTGTAGGTTGGAGACTCAGAATTTAAGGGTGCGTTTGATTCACGGAATATAAGATTACCAGTGAGAATAAAATATTATCAGGGAGTAGGATTACTGAGAATGTTGTATTTTGTGTTTGGTTGGTTTAGCAAGAATATAAGATTATCATGTTGGGTTAAAGAAATAAAAGATTATTGGAATGTATATTTGACCAAATTGTCCTTATTATATATTTGTTTTTTAACAAGTTGGAAATATTTATATATTCTCTTTAAAAAATTTAAATTCATAATTTTTTTTACAAAATTGAAAATATAAAAAGGTTTAATGAACTTTATATAAAATTTTAATTATAGATTTTTTTGTAAATCTAAAATAGTTTAAGGATAAATTTGTAATTTAATATTCGTAGAATTTTTATTATTCAATGACAAAAGAAGAATATTTTGAAAAAAAATTAAGTACATTTTAGTTCAAATGCTGGTAATCCAACAATACCTAAGGAAATGGAGGTAATGACATTCCCGATAATATACCTCAAAAAATCCACTATTGGTAATTACATTACCGGAAATGAGATTCCCGGACTAACTAAACGGGGAATGTGGATTCCATTCCCATGAGCATCCCACATTCCCCCATCCAAACGCTCCTTTAAGGGTCGTGAACATGTGCGGTACAGTATGGACCAGGTCCTACAGCTTAGGAAGGTAATTGTGCATACTTTTGCTTAGTAGTTTGTTTAGCCTCTGCATTAGCAAACTGTTGTTTCATTTTACTTCCAAAACAATCCACAAAAGAACAAATCTATGCTTTTTATCTGCTTACTAGTTGTTCAAAGCTGTTACCATCCTGTTTCAGTTGTAGTGAGATGATCATGAAAATAAGTAGTTCAATGTTCATACCCCTTTCCATATATATTATGTTGAAATTAAACGTGATTATGCTTCTTTCTTTCTCTTTAGGCTATAGAAGTTGCTAAAGAGATTATTAAAATAAAACGAGATATTGAAGGGAAAATCTTCAATGAAGATCTGGGCTTGTGGAGAAAGCAATGTACTATCTAACCGCTCATTTGCATCTTACATTTTAATATATTGATAGCAATTAAGTTCCTTGATGAAGTTCTTGTATTTTCAATTAATTTTGCGAATTCATTGTTAACGCCTGTTACTTCATACTTTGTACTTTTGTGATCCAGCAAGTTATAGGCAGAAGTGTTACTCTGAGCCCAAACTAATGTGATTGGTCTAGATGTTCGGCACAGATTCCTCCTGCTGGAGAGAAGAGGTCCTGGAAATCTCTTCGGGATAGAGATTTGGGAAACCGATTTGATTCCAGACAGCCAGAAGCATACAAACTAAATCGCCATGATCTATTCAACTCTCGGAACTCTGTAATTAATAGAGGATTCGCATTGGCTTTGTTTTTATTTCTAGCAATCCCTTCAGCAAGCTATCTATGTTATTTGGCTTTGGTATTAAATTGGGTTTCCTTTGTTGAACCAGGGAGGACCTACTCCAGCTTTGGTCAAGGCTGAGGTGCCATGGTTGGCTAGAAGGGGCAATCTTTCCGAGAAAGAGCGTGTTCTAAAGACTGTTAAAGGGTAAATATATTAGAATTATGTTTCTTACATAATATATGTCTCTGATATTTATCAACACAGTAAAACCTGTTTTGCTCTGATATTTAGTTTTTTTCATCATGTATGTATTTCTGATATCTATTCCAAACCATAAAAGAAACCTTGCATGACGCATTATGTTGCCCTAATAGTTATGTAACAAACCCATGTAGCAGGAACAACTTTTTCTTATTAAATTAAACGGATGCAAGTCATTTATGTGGTAAAAGATGCAAATGTCATCTGATTTCCTTATTAGCCAGGACATTTTTTTAAACTTGCAAACTTGCCAAGTGGTTTCATTTTCAAGTATGCATGATGGGAAAGGCAATCCTTTCCTTTGTTGGATAGTGAAATTACTTGTTATTCTCAATGTGTATGTTCTCTGTTTAGGATACTGAAAAAGCTGACTCCGGGAATTATGATCTTTCTAAGAGCCAACTTATTCATTCTGGTATCATATCAGCTGATATCTTGAAGGTTATTATTTCTGAATTCGTGTTATTTTTTTGACATTGGTGCATATTTTTTCTGTATTTATTTCTCTGTATGTATATATATCCACACACATGTACATTTCACGCTTGCTGTTGTATGTATGTATATGTGTTTATATCCATAGACATGTACAGAGTTACTGCAGGTTGTAAAAAGAAATCACTGATGGTTTCAATGCTGCTTTTACAGGGGGTTGTTTGTCTAATATTTGACAAGTTTGTGCTGGAACCCACTTTCTGTCCTATGTATGCACTCCTATGTTCTGATCTGAATAATAAGCTTCCTCATTTCCTTCCGATGAACCTGGCGGAAAACATATCACATTTAAGCGAGTCCTCCTGAATAACTTCCAGGAGGCATTCGAGGGAGCTGACAAGAAGAAGTGCAGCTGATGACTGCCCCTGAGAAAGAGGAGCGTAGAGACAAAGAAAGGATGGTCAAGCTCCGCACTCTAGGAAATATTCGTTTAATTGGTGAGCTTCTGAAGCAAAAAATGGTACCTGAGAGGATAGGCTATCACATTGTGCAGGTTATTGCCGATATTTCCTTTGTGATTAATGGATTTTGGAATTTTAGTAAGTTATGCAAACTCATTTTTTTTTCCTTTGTGCCAAACTGGAACTTTTGGGCACTGACAGTGGAGGATGCCCTGCAGAGGAGAATGTTGAAGCCCTTTGTCTGTTATTAATCACTTTTGGTAAACAGCTTGACAGGCAATCACAGCGCATAAAAGATGTTTGCTGCTTCAGATTGAAGGAATTGACTACAAATCCTCAGCTTGCTCCAAGATCGAGAACTGTGGTTCATGATGTTCTCGATCTTATGGCAAACTTCAGCAGATTTAAGGAATTGATTACAAGTCCTCAGCTTGCTCCAAGATTGGGATTTATGGTTTGTGATCTTCTTGACCTTCAGGCAAGCCAATGGGTTCTCAGACGTGAGGTGGTAGCTTACAAATTCCGTCAAATTTTATGGGTTAGATTAGACAGATATTGTTGGAATGCCCGTGTGAATGGGCTTTACTATTGATAACTCCATTTTTTTTTGGGTATGGATTTTTGCAGGTGAAAGACAACAAGTACTGCAAGTATTAGAAACAGTCATGTTTCTGTTGATCCTATGAGTCCTGGTCCTGGGGGCTTTCCGATCACATGCCCGGGTACAGGAGATTTGATGCCTGGAATGCCAGGAACTCAGAGAATGCCGGGAATGGACAATGATAACTGGGAAATTCCTAGGGCCCGGTCAATGCCAAGGAGTGATGCACAAGGTATGCAGCTTGAATTTGATGGGCTGTACGACATTCACGGAAATGACACACCAGAGTTTCAAGGCACCTCTACACCTAAGTCTGAAAACAAGTTCCCCGAACAGCAAGTGAGTTTCACCTCCTCACGGATTGCATGAGCTTGGGTCAAGCTCTTCACTACCACTAAGAAGTGGCCGTAAGCTCATGCTAAAAGCTGTGCCTTCAAAAGGTAACCGTAATGAGAGTAGAAGAAATTCTCAAGACTAGAAGGATACGTTCTCCCTTCAAAGGATTGTTTCAAGTACTTAGGGTCTATGATACATAAAGATGGGGTGTAGATGATGACGTTACACACCGTATAAAGGCGGGATGGCTAAAGTGGAGGGTCGCTACTGGAGTTCTGTGTGACAAGAAGGTGCCTCTAAAACTTAAGGGAAAATTTTATAGAATGACAATAAGACCAGCGCTGTTGTATGGATCAGAATGTTGGGCAACCAAGAAAGATCACGTAAGGAGGATTGAGACCGCAGAAATGAGAATGCTTTGATGGACATGTGGTAGGACTCTGTGGGATATGACGACAACTCTGCGATTAGGATGTCCTTGGGGGTGGTGTCTGTTTCCGAAAAATTGAGGGAGGGAGGACTACGGTGGTTTGGGCATGTCCTTAGGCGACTACCGTCGGATGCGGTCAGGAGGGTAGAGTCGATTACAGTCGACGGTGCCAGAAGGAAAGGACGACCAAGACGGAAGTGGGAAGACTGCTTGAGATATGATTTGAGGGATTTAGCCCTTACCGAAGACATGACCTCTGATAGGAAAATATGGAGGTTAAAGACTAGGATAATCGAGTAGTGTGGGTCACATTTATAGGGTGTATCATCTCTGTCTTTTTTAATGTCTTTGTAGTATTTTTCATGACTTCTACTTTTTATACGTTTCTGTTATTGGTATTTATGAAGGATTAGAACTGGGCTTGCTATCGTTGACTTCTGTGTATCATTCTCCTCATGTTTTCTCTTTTAAATTTAGCATGGTCTTATGTTTCTGTTTATATGCAGAGATTCTTTTGCAGGGATTATTATGCAGGGATTAATTCCCAGACGACATATGATTTTAATGACTGATATGAATATTGTTTAGCTATGTATTTATGTATTTATTTATATATGCATTGAATTTTATCTATATTTTAATTTTCTGACTGCCGGAGGTCTTCCACGGAAGCTACTCTCAACCTGACGTTGGGGGCAGCTTACTACCCTACCTCCCCTTTACCCCATACATATGGGAATTGGGTTTTGTTGTTGTTGTTGTTTAATGGCCCCTTTATAAGGTGAATTTTATGGCCAAATATTGGTTCTTTGCTACATGATTCTGCATACATACTGTCGGTATTTTCGTGTTAAGACTATTTTCTTCTGTGAAATGTATAAAAAAGTAAAAGCCTTAAAATCAGTTAAGATTTGAATTATAAATGAAAGTTACAATAAAAGCTCTTGACAGAAAGGTTTGTTTATTCTAAAATGGCTTTGCTTGCATTCAAAAGCATAAATTGCGGTCATAGTTCTGTATCATATTAGGGCATTGCCAACAGACTTGAGCTTAATCAGAAATTCAGTTCAAAAACTGACACATGAATGTGTAACCAACCAAAATTAGGAAAAGGCGAAATTCACAGTCCAGCTCTGCTATAGGAATACCAGTCGACATGCAAATCAATTGAACAAATATTTCAACAGCTAACTACGAGATACAACTCGAAAACCCTTAAGGAATGGTTCGCTGATACAGAGGCAAAGCTCCCAAAGCTTCACGCTCTGCATTCTCCTTCTTTACAAGATTCAATTAAAAAATTCTTAATACATACTCCAACTCCATCCATTTATTTCACATCGACTTTCAGCCTTTGCTTCAGTCAAAACACACAGCTTAAAATTCTAACACTACACCATAAACGAAGTGAAAAACAAACAGAAACTTTGCCAGCAAACATGACGCTGAACAATATGATGTGTATGTGCAAAAGATAGAATTTTGCAAAGCAAAGTAGAATTTAATAACCAAGAATCTAGCAGTTTGACATGGCATCATCAAGGTGTTGCACCTTGGCACCAGACAACAAAAGCACGATAGACCCTTTTGAACGAAGTGCTTTGATCAGGCACATGGTTTGTGCTCTTAGGTGCGCTTTTTTGAAACTGTTCAAAATAAAATTCAAGTCAATTTATCAACATAACTTCTACTGTACAAGAACTTACAAGAGCAAGCATATCTTGAAGATAGCTCCTAAATGGCGTCTGCATTTTCTGCAAAGGAATGATAAGATCCAATGAACTATAATTAATCTCAAAGCACAGTAATGAAGCAAAGATGCATGTTCAATAAAAAATGAAAAGGGTGGCAACATGCATGGATAATTATAAACATAAAGATATCTACTAATGTTGACAAAAATAATATATCATATCTTAATCATATTGATAAAGATTATAAAATTAGTTCCTCATCCCCGTATAATATTTTTCAATCCTTAGACAAGGATTGAGCGTTTTATGTCAACATAGTTTTGTTCGGTGTTGCAACTTCCATTCTAATGGTATTTACCTATAGTTTTAGGAAGCAAAAAAACAACTAATAATAGAACCATATTATACATAGAAATCAGGATAATTATTCTATCTTTTTGAAAGACTATATTCATATGTACTCTATCAAGTCCCCCCCCCCCAAAATAATAATGACATACAGATTTAAAGGTAATTGGATTTATAATAGGATTCATATTAGGTTTCTGACATTTAAAAGCTAATCCTTATTCACAATTACACAAAAGAAAATCAATCCTCCAAAATTAATACTCAAATAAGATTCTCCAAAAATCTACTAAAAAAAAGAGAGAGAGAAACCTGAAGATCTTCAGGGAGATACTCGTGCTTCATGGAGAGGTCAATTGCACGCTTAAGGCGTTGGTTACGGGCATCGACGACCTCACGAGGCAGCCTGTTCAATGCCTCCTTGATATCCAAATCGTAGTAAGGATCGTACAGATCGTCGTAACGAAGGCCTGAACAAATTATCCAATAAATTTAATTGAAATTTAGGGGGAAAGTTTAGAGTTAAGATTTTGAGGAAAATCGTTACCGTATTTGCTGAGACGGCTGGTAAGGGTTTTCATATGCAGAGATGCCAACCAGCTCTTCTTCGGATCCAAAAGTGACTGCAAAAGCGACGACATTTGGCTGCGCTTTCTCTTCCTCTCTATCTCAGCTGAATCCCGAGCCTTTGTATGCAGATCAAGGGTTTGTTACAGTTTGTGCAATATATCGACCAAGTTACTACACTCACGATATATATGGCATTATCTCACGAGATATTAAATAGTTATTGTTAAGGAAAAATACAATAATGGTCACTAATATTTAAGTAAGTTTTCATTTATATTAATTAAGTTTAAAAAGTATATTAGTCACTAATATTATCGATTTATAACAAATTGATCACTCTACCAGTATCTCTATTAAATTAATGATGTGGTACAATTAATAAAAAGGTTAACATTTATGTTTACCCTTAAACTATTACTAAAACATCAATATGTCTTTAAACAATGATTTTATATCTAATCTATCCCAAAAGCTTTTAACTTCTTTTTTCAAACATTGCATCATTTCAATTATATTCTAACTAATTTCCTTACAAAACAAAAATCACACTTGAACAAAATTTCGTTTGTCTTTAAATATTCTAACCACTTTCCTTACAAAACAAAAATCATCCCAAAGTATTATTTTTTTCATTAAAATTAATTGGATATATGACTTTAAATACTCATGTATTTTATAATGAAAAGACTCCATTTATCAATACAATTGGTTTTTTTTTTTGTAAGAATGTGGTTCGAATATAGTTATAGTGTTGGGGTGTTTGAAAAAAACTATAAATTAGAAATTTTTGGGATAAATTAAATAAAATTATTGTTTAAGGAATTGTTTGATGTTTTAGCTATAGCTTAGGGATAAAACTAAAATATTAATCTTTTTATCAACATTATCATGTCTTCAATTTAATAGAGATAACGAATAAGTGACCATTTTGTTATAATCAATAACGCTAGTGACCATTTTGTTACAAATTGATAATGTTAGTAACTAATTTATTACTTTTGAAACTTTAGTGGGAAAAATAAAAACTTACTCAAACATTAGTGATCATTGGTGTGGTTTACCCTCTTTTATTAATAGTGATTAAAATAAGATAATATTTATTCAAAAAAATTCAACCATTTAATTATTTAAAAATTTGTAATATAATTGATTTAATAAAAAATAAATTGATATAAATTTTTCTCTCGTGAAGTAATCAATCCATCAACAAATTTATTTTAACTAATAATGATTTAATTAATTACTTTTACGGGGTAAATAAGAGGGGTATGATATTAGGTATAAACATAAGACTCGAATCCAATAGGTTCTGACCTAATTCGATTGGATTGGAATTTTAAAATTATATTGATTTAGTTTGGGTTGGGCTGGGTTTAAATTTAGGGGAAAAAATATTCGATCTAAAAAATATAATTTTACATTATATATTTAAAAATAATTATAATAGTATTTTTTTATATATTTTTTAATTATATCTCTATTTTTTATTAAATAAAATATTATTATTTAATAAATATTATTCAAGATCAAATCGAATTTAAATTTTATCTAAGATTAAATTTAGATATAATGCATATGTAGCTCACTGTTTCTTTGTGTACTTCTCGTTCTCGATCCAAAGGTACATATTCTTGCTATCCTATCGGACGGTCAGGATTTTCGCTATTTTTCCTTTGGGTGTAACCTAATAATAACCTACGATCTCATTTCAGTTGTAGCGGGAGTGTAGAGCAATCTTGAGTCGACCGACCCAGATGAGAGGAACCATCGGCAGGACCCTGTACGATCAATACCCATCTTACCAAACGAACCTCTTTTTCCTCCAATCCTCCCCCTTCTCCGCTTCCTCAAGATCTGGCGACGGCCGTGGCCTTGCTGGGGGAAACTCTCCTTTGATGGATTCACTCCAGCCACCGCAAAATCCGAATCAGAGGAGAAAAGGTCCGACTCAAATGAATCGGCTTTCGTCGGATTAGGTCACGGCCGTGGAAGAGGAACTCCCTTATCCTCCGAATCCAAACTCCCCCTTTCTCTTCTCATTTTTCCCAATACGCGTCCGGTCGAGGCCGAGGTACCAATGAGCCAGTGCCGCCTCCAAGGCAACCGAAAGTGCCGATATTTGTAAAGAAATAGGATGAAATCGAAGTTGATTCCCCGGCGAAGCCGGCCACCGATTCGGTTCAGTCGATGGAGCCAACACTTCCATCTAGTATGCCCTTAGTCGCATCATTATCGGGTGCTGGACGAGGCAAGCCCTTGAAGCAACCGGAGTCTGCCTTGCAGATGAAGGAAGAAATAGGCATATCCGAGCGAAGCAGGAGCAGCAACGGCAGCAACCGCCTCCATTGCCGCAGATGAGCAAGGAAGAAGCAGTAAAGAAAGCAAGGAGATTCTTTCAAGGAGAAGCGAGGGATATAAGGAGGATATGGGTTTGAGTGGAGGTAGAGGAAGAGGAAGAGGTAGGCAGTCGGACAGGGTAGGGGAAGGGGAAGAGGGCGCGGAGGATACTCAAGGAAATTGGAAGAAGATGCTAAAGAGCTTGAAGATGATCTTTATTTAGGAGATGATGCGAATGGAGAGAAATTGGCCCAAACCATTGGAGCCGAAAATATGGCTAAGTTGGTTGAAGGGTTTGAAGAGCTTTCCAGTAGAGTCATGCCTTCTGGACGATGCTTACATGGAAGCGATGCATACCAACTTTATGGTGAGTTGTTCACCTTTTGAAATTTGTGCAAGGATGATTATTATTACTTCAGTTCACTATAATTAGAAATTAAATTGTGTTATTTCTTTGTATGCTATCAGCTAAAATGGGAATTGGCCTGGTGATTGTTTTTAGCATAGAAAAAGTATAAATGAAAACTTGGGTTGGAGCAAACTGTTCTAACTGTCAATAAACACCATTACGTTGAACAAGAACATAAATTGGTTCTAGGGGTGACAATTACAATAATAGGTTTTAATCTGAAAGACGTGCCTCAGTGAATGGTGTATTTTAAATCTGCAAGGCTGGTAAGTGGTAATACTAGTAATTGGTTGGTGTAAAATTATATTCACATTGCAGTCCTGCATCCTCTGGTTAGGCTGGCATAATTTAATGTGTGTTTTTGCTGATTTTTTATGATTCATTTGTGCTAACAATTTGGTCTAGTGAGCCATCGAATATCTGATTTCTTGTTGGTAGTAATCACTGTTTTAAAGGCTTATGTAAACATTGCTAACAAATAGGTTTATGTTGTTGTGGTGGTGGATAAAACTGATAATGCACTTGTAAAAGAACACGTGAAACAATATTGAACTAATTCAACCATTTCCTTAATTAATTTTACATTGCAGCCTCGACTGTATTGCCAGACTATGATTTATTGGGGTTAATCTGGATCTTAAACCATTTATCTACTTGTTTGGCTTGCAGATAGAGTTTGAGCCTGAATATTTGATGGCAGATTTTGAGACTAACCCAGATATTGATGAGAAACCACCCGTGTCTCTTAGAGATGCCCTTAAGAAGGTGAAACCTTTCCTCATGTCATATGAAGGAATTCAAAATCAAGAAGAGTGGAGGTATGTTCTATTGCTTTGATCATGGTTCATGGTTGTTTTTCTCATTGCTTTGGATGTATTTCTTCCGTATGAATGACATGGAGAACTAAAATATTTATTCTTACTGATAGTAAGATTATTCAATTTTAGAGGACATCCTGCTTCAAGTTAATCCTATAGTTGAACTTGGACAAGGCTGAAGTTACATTAATGGAGACAAAATCCATTTAGTTTCTAATCCACAAAATCACCATAAGGAATTAAGGTCATGGAGAAATTGTTTTTTAGCACACAAAATTTTTCATAATAAATTGAATAGTTAACCTGTGAAATCCACATTATTTTGTGTGTGATAACATTTTCTGAAAAAGGCCCCTAATTTGTTTTCTTGATAGTCTTTTTTAGATGACTTCTTCATGAATAGCTTTATACTATGTTTTCCACATTCTAACTTTTCAGGAAGCCATCAAAGAAAAAATGGAAAATGTACCTTTACTGCAAGAGATCATTGATCACTACAGTGGACCTGATAGAGTAACTGCAAAGAAACAGCAAGAAGAGTTGGAAAGAGTTGCAAAAACTCTTCCCAAAAGTGCACCTGCTTCTGTGAAGAACTTTGCAAACCGTGGTTCTCTCTCTTCAGGTTACTATTTATATTTACTAATTTTCTTTCATGCACAATTTGCGTTTGAGGATGATGCTTTCTGGGATGTACATTGTGAGATATCGGTTTCTGAACTTTAGCTTCCTTGCATTCTTTTTGGACTTGTATAATAGATTTGACACATATGAGACAACATGTCTGCCATGGATATCCTGGCACTTCAAGAAGGCTAATGGGACTAACAGGCACAGTTTTTATGGTTGAGCTTTTGTTACTAGAACAGAAGTCGCATTAAGAAACTATATGGTGGAAATTATGTTGGTATTCGTGTTGTATTTGTTTTGTGTCTAAAATTGCCAGATCCATCTTGGACTAGTCTAATTTCTGGTTACTATATGGGGTAATTATGTTGGTATATTCGTGTTCTATTTGTTTTGTGTCTAAAATTGCCAAATCCATCTTGGACTAGTCTAATTTCTGGTTACTATATGGGCGAATCTTATAAAGCAGAGTAACCCTGGTTGGGGATTCGACAAAAATGCCAATTCATGGACAAGCTTGTGTGGGAGGTCTCTCAACAATACAAATGAAGGTAGATGGCTTGGTTTATTTAATCGAGATGATACCAAGCAGTTATGGCCTCATGATGCTTCTGATTCCATTCACCAAATCCTTTTCTTTTGGGAGGGAGGCGACTGGGGATATATGAACATAGTTTCGGTGAAAAGAGATTTTTTTTTTGCTTATGTATTTGATTCCTTTAGAGGAGGAACATCTGCAATAGATTTATACGCTAGTTAATTTTTCAGTAACGGTGAATAAGCATTACTTGGAGAGGCCGAAGTACTGAATTTGTTGTGTTTTACTAGGAATGTTCAAAGTATTTTTGCTACCTGTGTTGTGTGATGCATTGTATCCAGCCCAGATATGTTATGCTACGATTCAGATTCAATTCCAATCCATTTTGACCCCCAACCTT